TGACTCATGCATGAACCTAAGACATGGTCATGGTGACATGTACTCAAAGTGTGTGCTAAGACTAGTGAGTGTAAGTGACATGTTAAGACTCGTGTCATAACCATGTGGCTAGACTATGTGACTAGACTCAAGCAAAGACTAAGTTAAGACCTCATGTATATGCATTAAACTGGACAGCCTGTGGTATTTTAGTCATAACTTTTGATCTGTGACTCTGATTGGGAATTTGGGATGAAACCAACGTCAAATTAAAGATAAAACTCGGGGCTACAGATCCATAGTTTATACGACTCGTAGTTCTTCCTAGAACTCCGTCTATGACCAAAACAAGTTGATGTTTGTGCAGTATACGGGAATAAAAATCCGGGTTAACTTAAAGGGACTATGACTCGATTTTAGACATATTTATTAGCTCAAATTAATTAATTAATTAATTAATTAAACAAAGTCCTTTAGTCATAAATCAGTTTATTTAATATTAACACAAGTCAAAGAAATGGTTAGGAAAAAACACATAGAGTATGCACAACCAATAATGCGCAATTAGTCAAGTAGGCAGAATATGATGCAATGAGTTTGTAACCTAACCATGGCTCTAGTTCTCTAAAGTTCGGGATATGGGTTAGTCAATAGAGGGTCCATGGTTAATTTTTTGGATGCACCGCGCGGAAGCCTAACCGTGAAGGGTTGGCGCGAGTGGATGAGACACCGCAAGTTAAGAAAAACTCGCTTCCATGGTTTGGTGAATTCAACATTCTCGGATGTACCCTTTGTTGCTTAGAGCGTTCAATAAGGTAGATAGAGCATGAATTCCCAGAGGGTTATGTCCATATATAGAACACATATGGGTTTCAGAAAAGTGAGAAAAACTCAATCAGGAAGTAGGATCGAGCAAACAGTGCTAAAAAATTGGTCAAAATTAGAACGCATATTTCTGGCTCAGTATTGGAAGAACTTGGCGCCAGCAAACAGAGGCTGACGCCAGCTTTTGGCTTTAGCGCCTGGCGACAGAGTTGTGGTCTAGCGCTAAAGTCAAAATACTGGCGCTAATCTCTGTTCGCTGACATTAGTTCCTACATGCCTCAGCAGCTTTTTGTGCTCGATAAAATATTCCAGTTTCGCACAGTGCTATTTTGACCCTAGTTATGAAAGATATTCCTCAAATTTCCTACGTGTAAAAATCCTATGTTTTAACTCATTACCGACGATCTTTCCAATGAGATCTTTTTTATGCATATGACAATAATGTTAATAAAAATTACGCACATGAAATACTTAGAATTTTTTGAGTCTCATCCACTCATTCTAAATCAGGAATTAAAATAGAAATCCTCCCCAGCAGAGTCGCCAAAAACTGTAGGGAATATTTCAAGCATTATCCCAAACTTGAACCTCATTGTGATCATACACTAAAGTACGGTGGCGTCCAAAGGGAAAGAAGATACAGCAAAAGAGTCGCCAACAAGTTTTAGGAACTTGTAAATCGTTCACGAGGTGAAGGTTACACCCCTTAACAATCCAGGAGATCGTCAACTCCAATAGGTCTGGAACTATGACTGGTAGTTCGGGGATGAATGTACAAATCCAATTTAAAAGAGATTGAACTTGCCCTAATAATAGGCCTCTACTTTATTCTGATCGTATTCATGTGCGCTTTCTGACTAACATGCAATCAATAGGTTTAACCCTAAACCTGTTTATCTATGTTGGTTGAATATTAATGCACAAATAAATCTATTATTGGCGATCACTTGAATTATAATCAAATTAATCCTAAACAAGATTATTAATTATCTTATTAAGCGTGATTACAAGTAAAAATTCCCTTTAAGCATGCGTAAAAGGTGTTATCAAGCAATAACAATAAAATCAAGCAACATAATAATCAGAATTAAAATAATCATAAATCATCATCATAACAATTAGAATCATAATATTCATGTTAAAGCATAATAATAGCAAGATCCTAGGCATGATACTAACAAGATTAATAACAAACCATAGCATGTCACTAAACAATAAAAATCAAATATTTAACCCTAACATGATACTAACAATCATAAACATTAGGAAGAACATAGGAAGCATCATACATTTAATCATACTTGATATTAAAGTTACCATAGACATGATACTAGGAATTTATTGTTGTCACCCTAAACATCAAATTAAGAAAAACATACTAACATGATACTAGGAATCATAATAACAACCTAAGCATGATTTCTACATAATAACATCAATAAAAACCATTAAAGTACTTACTTGGATGCCTCGTACCTCTTTCTAATAACAAAATACACACGTTAGTAACTTCAAGGAAAATAATAAAACAAACAACAATTAAATTAAATAATTAAAAGAGAGATTTGGGACCAAACCATCACAAATTAAAATCTTTCACGTCTAGGGCGAAGGCAACTTCGAATTTGGCTAGGTGTTTCTAGTGCTAATGTATGAGGAATTGTGTTTGTAAAAGGGTAGTTTAGAAAATAGAGAGAAAGAATCAAGAAATTCTTGATGAGAGTTGGTGAAAATTGGTGAAAACTGATGGAGTTTTTAGAAGGCTATTTATAGAAAGAATCAGCCAAAAAGATAGAAAATCGAAACAGAGTTCTGACGCGCAAAAACGAGGTTAGCGCTAGACGCTAACATTACCGTCAGGCGCCAAGCTTAGCGTCAGGCGCTAATGCTGGCGTTTGGCGCTCATTAAATTATTGACGCGTTTTCTAAAATCAGATAAAAATTAACCGTACAGGAGGATAAAATCGTATTTTCCTCAAAAATATTCTTTTATACTGATTAAAACTCTAAAAAGTCAACAAAAGTCAATTTATCAATGCTAATTGAATTAGGAATGAAAAGAACCTTCTAGAAGAATCTAGAAGACTAAAACCATTCCTAATCGCATTAGGAATGATAAATATATATTAGGCCCTCCTCTAGATCATTGGGCTGCATATAAGGCTTAAACGAGGCCCGGTTTAGTAATTTGGCCATAACTTCCTCAATATTCATCGGAATTGGGCTTATAATATATCATTGGAAAACTCTTTTCAAGCCCTATCCAACCACACTAATATTGGACCCATATCATGGACCAACCAAACTGGATTGACCGTTTTCTTAAAATAGATTTTCAAAAAAAGAGAGAAGAGAAAAGAAATTAAAACTATCCGCAACACTCAACTTTCCACACTTTCACTTCATTCGATTACGATTCGACGTGAAAGGTACTCATCATCGGGTTTGATTTGGGGAGACACAAATGGGTGTCTACAGTTCTTGAGTTTGTTGCATCAATTCATTAGGATGTTTTATTCTTCCCTTTTAATCATGCTTTCTTTATTAGATTTAGTTTTAATTATTTATTTCATGCTAGTGTAGTTTATTTGTAGGGTTTCGGAATCCATGTTTATACAATGAATTTTAATTAATGTCATTGATGTTTTGACTATTCATATCTTGCAACCTGATCAATTGTTTAATTAATTATTGTTAATAAGTTTTTGAATTGAAAGACCGTACTTTTAGAGGCTTACCTACAATTAGCATTTATGAATATGTTAGAGACAGTACTGTATATATTGAATTGAGTGTGTTAAGACCCGACCGTAGGCTTAGGAATTGCTCTAGATAATTGATTAGTTGAATTGTTAATGATATTTTGATAGATTTAAGAACTATAAGCATGACACTTTAACCTAGAACTTTTTATTATTTTTATTATCATAGTTTAGATTACCTTTGTATCCTGAATTTCATGACATATTTTAGTTTATGCAATTCCTTAGAAGTTAGATTGAATAGCCATCTTTCTGTGGATTCGACCCTATCTACTTACCTTACTACAATGTTGGTTGATTTTATTAGGAATTTATTTTTGACAAGTGTATGTACGAAAAGCTAGAATTCGCTTAAAATAATGGTCCTAAGTGACTGGGAACCTATTAAAAAGGTAAAAAAAATTTGGTGTATGTGACACGTGTCACCATGTGATTTGGTTAAAATATTTTTTAATCCCACCCACGCAACCCAACCACCGATGAACCTACGTAATTCTGGCAGCGCCCTCCCACTTAGCCCAGCTAGGTCCCATACACCACCCTAAATCTCATCCTTAAACCACCACCCAAATTTATTGTAGGTAGCGAATAAGTGATTATGGGGGCTGCGATGCTTCACTAATTGCAGGTTCATGGGTGAGATTGTTGGTGCGAGAGGAGCAATTGAATGGCTTGATTGTGGTGGGGAGTGATGAGGTGGAGGTGGGTGTTTGGTGTTGTGGGTTGTGCGTTGTTACGGGGCATCTGAATTGTGGTTTCGTGATGGTTGATGTGTGTTTAAGGGTTGGTTCTGATGTGGTCGCGACAAAGCTAGTGGTGTATAGGAGTGTTTTATAGAGTAGTGGAGGGGCTTCGTCGACACTGGAGATGGGTTATGCCGTGAGGTGGCCATGGCACATGGTGGGGAGGGTGACCGTGGGTGAGACTAGCTATTTTCTTTTTTAATTCTTTACAAAAAAAGTATTTTAAGCTTTTCTTTTTAATTATATACCAATTATGTCACCTTAACATTTTATAACATGTTACGTGATCGGCTGGGACCATCTTGAGCGAATAACCCCAAAAGTTCGGATTGTTTATAAAAAAAAAATTCAAAATTGAGATTATTTTAAGCGAACGGACAAATTTTGAGATTATTTTTACCATTTTTCCAAATGTTAGATCTAGCGTTTTAAAAAATTTCTTCAAATTTTGTGTCATAAACATGTAGTATGGAGTGATATAGAAGACTTCCTAGGTTCGCATAAGGGAAATAAACTCCTCATAGGGGATTTCAATCAGGTAGAGTGGTGTTCACAGAAAAAAGGAGGGTCAGACGTGGTAAGGGGTGCTTCTTCCTTTTCAAGCTAGAGAATCAGAAATGGACTACTTGAAATCCCGTACAGGGGAGTAGATTTTACCTGGACCAACAACAAACTTGGTGAGGAGAATATAATGGAACGTCTTGACAGAGCATATTGCAATCGAAGTCATAGGGATTTGTATCTAGAGGCATTGCTTTGGAATTTCCCAATTTTCATTTCTGATCATGGCCCAATCTTGTTTGATTCATGCCCAAAAAAGGTCGAACGAAAAAAAAGACCTTATAAGATCGAAGCGTGGGCATTGAGTTTCTTGGAGGTTACCGCAATTTTAGACTCAGTGTGGAAAGAGGAGATATCAGGGTCTAGGATGTTTGTATTTAAACAAAAGTTAAAGAGAGCTCGAGAAAAGTTGAAAAAGGGGTGTCTAAATTATAGGGATGAGCACAGGATAAACTGGAACCAAATACAGGGGACTTTGACAGATATTCAGCTGAACATCACGAGCGAGCAGAATATCAAGTTGGAGAAGGAGATGAGAAATAAGATGGAGCAGGAGGTAGAAGTGAAGAATATGTTCTGGAAAGAACGAGCCAAAAGTAAATAGGAGAAATTGGGGGGATAGGAATACGACCTTCTTCTTCAGATCAGTCAAAGAGAGAAAAATTAAAAACGAAATACGGGTGATCCGGCTGGGCAAAGAAGACTGGACCTCGGACTCTAGGCGGATAAAAGAGGAGTTTGTGAAGCTTTTCAAGTCTATTTATTCTCCGCCAGCGCTAGAAGATCAGGAAATCAGGCAGGAGACAGAGACCTTGACTGTAGAGTGGCTTCAACACATTCCTTAGCTAGACGCACTCCAAATAGAACATCTGAATGATGACTTCACCAAGGAAGAAATCAAAGCTGCGGTGTTCGGTATGAAATCTCTGAAGGCACCAGGGCCGGATGGGTGTCTTCCCATAGTTTTACAAAAATGCTGGAGTACTATGGGAGAAGACATTTGTCAAGCAGTGAGGAGCTTCCTTAATGTTGGGCATAACTTAAAGGAGTGGAACAAAACGTTTATCTGCCTCATCCCAAAAGAAGCAAACTCAAACAAGGTGGATCTTTTTAGACCAATTGGCCTGTGCAACACGATCTATAAAGTGATCTCGAAATGCTTGGTGAACAGGTTAAAACCGATTCTGAAGGAGGTTATTGGAGAAGCTCAAAATGCTTTTGTCCTTGGGAGACAAATGTCTGATAGTGCGCTAATGGGGCATGAACTGATCCAATTTATCAAGAGGAAGAAAAGGAAGGATGGAAATTTTGCAAGGGTCATGAAGATAGACCTGAATAAGGCATATGATAGAGTTGACTGGGATTTTATTATCAGCATTCTGCAAAAATTGTTCTTTCCTGAGAGATGGATACAATGGATAAAGCAATGCATAACGACAGTGAAGTACTCGATTCTGGTGAATGGTGAATAGACGGATTGGTTTACTCCGAGAGCAGGCCTCAGGCAAGGTGATCCTCTTTTACCATACCTCTTTATTTTATGCATAGAGGTGCTTTCGAGAAGACTAGCCTGGTTACAGGAGCAGGGGAAGATTCAAGGAATCAAGATAGCTCGGGGATGTCCATCCATCACTCATTTATTCTTCGCGGATGATGCGCTCCTCTTCTTTAGACCTTCTGTAGAGGTATGCAGCGAATTGAGGAGGGTAATGGATGATTTCTTCAGGATGTCAGGGGAGGTAGTAAATGCAAAGAAATCTTTTGTCATGTTCAGCCCTAATACTCTGTCCACCTTTGTCAGAATTTATGAAAACCATTGGGAATGATGAGTAGACTCTCATTTGGGAGTTATCTTGGATGCCCCATGGATATAGATAGGAGAAATACTTCTCAGCTGAACTTCTTGGTTGAAAGGGTTTCAAACAGGATCTTGTCTTCTGTTAGTGAAGAGGACAAAAGTAAATTCAGCATGGTAGTAGATCTGATAGATGATAGAGGGGAATGGAAGATAAGGGAGATATGGAAGCTCTTTGATACAAGGATTGTGAATTCTATTCTCAGCACTTATCCAAGGAAAGAGGAAACAGATGAGGTTTTGTGGGGTGGCGATATGATAGATGATAGAGGGGAATGGAAGATAAGGGAGATATGGAAGCTCTTTGATACAAGACTGTGAATTCTATTCTCAGCACTTATCCAAGGAAAGAGGAAACGGATGAGGTTTTTTGGGGTGGCACGGAGTCAGGAGCATGCATGGTAAAGTCGGGATATAGATAGCTCATGGATTTGAGGGGAAAGGTAGAAGTTTCGGTTTTCTGGAGGAAGTTTTGGGATCTAAAATGTAATCTGAAATGGCTTATGTTGGGTTGGAAGATTATGAATAATGCATGTAGCAGCAAGGTAAACCTGATCAAACGCGGGATTGGTGTTCACCCTAACTGTGTCCTCTGCGAGAAAGAAAGGGAAACAACAACACATCTTTTCAGAGACTGTCAGGTAGTGAGAAGGATTTGGCAATGTGGTCAGCTGGGGATTAAAATAGGAAATGAGGGATTACCAATTGAGGTATGTTTGAGGAACCTATTAGGTTATGCTGTGAACTTAAAACAGCAAATCCAATCCTCCCAGGGTATATCCTAGCGATCTTGTGGTGCATCTGGAAGCATAGGAATGACATTATCTTCACAGGTGTACATGCATCTCCTTCTCACATTTTGAGATTAGTGATTTAGTAATGTTAATCTATCCCCTTAAGGAAGAGGGTAAGGCAACAAAGGAAAGGCAAGATATGGATAGTAGAGGGGGAGAGGAGCTGAACTATTGGCACAGAGGTACACATACCCCCCATCAGGTAGCTATCGGCACAATGGACGGAGCGTGGAAAAAGGAAGACAGAAAACTAGACTCAGCGGCGATTGGATGGGTTATTTCTCTGAATGGGATTCTTATTCAAGAAGGAGGGAGGAGAGTGGTGGGAAGCTCAGCGCTCTACTGTGAATTGCTAGCAATAAAGAAGGCAATTAGGAGGGCAGGAGATAGCATCTTGGAGATGGAGATTAGAAGGGATAGCAAGCTGGCGGTGGAAGCTCTCAGACATCCTCATAGGTCGCCAAAGCAGCTCCGGAATCCGGTTCTATGTATCCTTAATCTTAGTTCTAAGCTCTCCTAATTTTGTTGTTATTACGTTCCTAGAAGTGTTACTTCCCGAGCTCATGACCTGAAAGTTAAAGCCAGGAAAGGAGTGTAGGAAGCGCTCTCAGGTATCTGATGTTTTTTGTTTTACAGCTGCCAAAAAAAAATGCTCTTACGATGTTTTTGGGGTCATTTTTGCATTTGAAACCTATTTAAAGTCAAAATTATAAAAACATAGAGATACCATGTTTTGCATATACACTAAAAAAAAACCTCGATGCGTGATACACACAAAATGAGTCATTTTTTTATAACTATTTGTCAATTTTGACGTATAATCGTAGCCTTAAGACAAAAATAACCCAAACAATTCCGAAGAGCATGTTTTAGGCACAAAAATTGAAGAAATCTTTAAAACCCTTAGATTTAACAATTTTGATGGTGAAATCTAATTTTATTCGTTTTTAGGTGGTATAAGATGAAGCTCATGCGATGCACGGTTGTTTGTATTTTTTCAAATAAATATTTTACTGAATATATATTTATCTTATAAATTTTGTGATATTCTCTTGCTTAATACTTGAATTTTTATTATAAATTGAATTATGAACTTTGTTTCTCATATTTAGATAAAATTTGTTATATGAAAAGATAAAATTTTATTTCACATAGTTTCATGTGTAGTGTCACACCGTGCGGTCGGGATTACTTGATCAGGAGTTACTTAGTTGATCAAGAGATACTCAATCGATCAGGGGTTACTTGGACGGTCAGAGGTTACTTAGACGATCAGGGGTTACTCGGTTAGTGTTTGGGTGTGTCAGCCGGCCACACGATATGGCCAACCACACAAAAAACGTGCTATTTTTTATATATATATAATTAATATAAAATTTTGATCTAAAATAAATTGCAATTCTTTTTTTTTTTCATTGGCTAAAATATAACATTTTCCTATGTGACACTCTAACATTAATCGTACGTGGCATAATCCTATTGTAGTGTTTTAAAATTATTATTTTTATGTGGTGTTTTTTTTAAAATTATAATCCTACGTAGCACTTTACAAAAACATATCTTACATGGCATAATCTGATTGTAGCGTTTTAATATATTAATTCTAAGTGGTGCTCTAATAATTTTTTAAAATATAAAATCCTACATGAAAATATATATAGGATTGAGATCCAATGAGAACGATCTTAAAATGAGAAGAATGAGAAGGAATCTTGACCATGTATTTAATCCAACGATGAAATTTATCTTTGCAAAATTATGCACATTAAGTCTAAAAAATGTGCACAATTAGTTCGAAAATTATGCACATTTCATTTTCTAGTTTTTATATCAGTTTTTTTTTAACCTTTTCTTCTCCTCCTCGACATCTCTCTTCTCTAGATTCATACACATATTTTTGTCTCTCTTTCTCTCTCCTAAAATTATGCACATTTGCCTTAAAATTTATGCACGTTTGACTCAAAATTTTTGCACATTCATTTTATCATTGGTTTTCCTATTCCTTATGTTGGATTCTTTCTCTCCTACATCAATGCTTATTCATATATAGTTCTAGTTGTACTAATAATTTTATAAATGAGAAAGTAATGATGGTCATGAATAACTTGTAAACTAAACAATAATAAGGATTAATCGACCGACGATGTCATCTAGAGAATGTTAAGCTAGCAATATGCACATATAGTTGGAAAATTTTGCACGTTTAGTACAAAATTTTTGCATATTCATCTCAATAAATATGCACAAATTAGTTTAAGAACGTGCACAAATTTTACAAGAATAATGTCGATTTAGTTTAAAAACTATGCATATACAATGTTTACTTTTACTTGATTCTACTTGGTTATCATTTTAGAGCATCTTCTAAATTTAAAGAGGAAAAAACTTAGGGAAGATAAATGAACAAGGAAAAGGGAGAAGTAGAGAATGGGGAAAACCAAAAGGGATGTGGAAAAAAAAGGATATTTACATTTTTTCCATTAATGAAGGATGTAATGAGAGCCATTAGATAATTTTTTAATTAAAGGTATGACATTCTTTCTCATTCTTCTCACTTGACCCTAAATATATACACACACTAGATTTGAAAATAATTTTTTTTTGTGGTAAAATACAAAATTTTTTAGAAACAAATGTGGCAACAAAATTGAGTCTAATGGACGATGAATAGAATAATACAGTATTCACCATTGTCCGTAAAAGTTAGTTTATTTTGGGTTTTTTTAGGTGTGAGGAAAAAGTTAGGTAGGCAAATTATTAGATATCAGTACCTGCTAAAATTACAATACTTTGCTGGAATGGACCCATACGAACAAACTTCGAATAACCACGAGTATCTTATCTTGCCACAAGGTGGGCTACCGTGTTACCTACCCTCTGAACATGTGAAGATATAAAAGCGTAAAAAATTGTGATAAGATGTTATCATCATAAATTAACCAAATTGACAAGCGA